TGAGCAGGGCCTGTGGCCGGGACCCCGGCTGGCAAGGGGCAGGCAGCCAGAACCCCAGACTGGCAGTAGGCTGAGCGGGGCCAGCGGCCGGGACCCCAGTCTGGCAGCAAGCTGAGCGGCTCAGCCCGCTGTCGGTCTGGGATTCCGTCTGCCAGCTCCTGCCAGCCAGGGTCCCAGCTGCCGGCCCCGCTCAGCCCGCTGCCGGTCTGGAGTCCCGGCCCTGTCCACATAGAATAGGTACCTATCTTCTCCCTGGTTCTAGCTATTCTCTTCCTCTCTCTGCACTGAGGTGAGGGTGGGAGTGTCCTGAGAACAGGGCTGGGGGTGAAGGAGCAGGCTGGGGGTTGGGGTGCAGGGTCTGGCCAGGAGCTAGAATGAGGGAGGGGGCTCAGGATTGGGGCAGGAGGTTTGGGTGTGGAGCGCTTACCTGGGCAGCTCCCATTTGGTGCGAGGGGTGCAGGTGGGAATGTGGGGGTGGGGGGGGGGGGAGAAGGAGAAGATGTGCAGGAGCTCCCGTTTGGTGCTCAGGGTGGGAGTGGGGATGTGGGGGATGCAGGAGTCAGGGCAGGGGATGTGTGAGAAGGGTTCAGGGGTGAGGGCTGAGGGCGTGTGAGGGGAGTGCAGGGGTGAGGGCAGAGGGCTGGGGCTGTGTGAGGCGGTGCAGGGGTCAGGGCAGAGGGCTGAGGTTGTGGGGGCGGTGCAGGGCTCACAGCAGGGGGCTGGAGGGGATATGCCCTGATTCCAGCCCCTTCCCCAAGGTCCCCGGAGCAGAGAGCATGCTGCGGCTCCGGCTCCCCTCTTACCTCTCCCCCTCCGTAGCAAGGGTCGTCAGCTGATCAGCCACAGGGAGGGAGCGGAGGAGGGGCAGGAACCCAGCATGCTGGGGGAAGAGGCGGGGAGAGGGGGAAGCTTGCCTGCCCTGCAAGGAGAGAGCAGTGGGCAGGAAAAAAGCGGGCCGGGCCAGGCAGGATTTTTAGTGGCACGCTGCTGTCTGCCCGGATCCAGCAGACAGCAAAGTGCCATTAAAAATTGCCACGCGTGCCATAGGTTGCCGACGCCTGAGCTAGATCAATAGAAGCTGCACCTACACCAGGGGTTAGGTCGACCTAACCACAACACTCAGGGTGCGAAAGTTTTCACACCCCTGAGCATGGATCTAATTTAAGTAATAGACTAGGTCAGAATCCCACTGCCACAGGAAAAAGATCTTTGTGGATATGGGAGAACAGCCCCTTTCTGAAGAACGAACATGAGGGAGCAGGCAGCTGTTAACTCTCAAGAAAATTTAGGACTGGCAAACAGGCCTCAGAAGATTGAGGAAGGATGAGGACCCTCAGGAGTCATCCCTCCTTTTCCAGAAGACGAAGTTAGTCTTTCCCTTTAGCTGGAGAGAATATTTAGGGGGGGGAAAACCTTGTTTGGCAGTCTCTTAGATGGTATGAAAGATGGTAATAACTGTCCTTTGGGGTAAAAGAAGAAGTTAGTTGCACTTTTTTTATAACATTTATTACTGAAAATAGCTTGACTTTTTAAAAAATTATAGATATTTTATGAATGTATATATATTTATAATTAAACTTAAAATAAATGTTTAAATCAAATCTTTACAACAGTGCTTTACCTATCCTGTCTTCAGAGCAACAGCCGTGTTAATCTTTGTATCTGCAAAAAAAAAAAAAGGAGGACTTGTGGCACCTTAGAGACTAACACATTTATTTGCGCATAAGCTTTCGTGAGCTACAGCTCACTTCATTGGATAAATTTGTTAGTCTCTAAGGTGCCACAAGTGCTCCTTTTCTTCCTATCCCATCTTGTTATAGGTGCTAAAGGCCTGCTAGCAGTCAGTTTCTTTGGATGAAAGGTTTCAGAGTAACAGCCGTGTTAGTCTGTATTCGCAAAAAGGAAAGGAGTACTTGTGGCACCTTAGAGACTAACCAATTTATTTGAGCATAAGCTTTCGTGAGCATCCGATGAAGTGAGCTGTAGCTCACGAAAGCTTATGCTCAAATAAATTGGTTAGTCTCTAAGGTGCCACAAGTACTCCTTTTCTTTTTGGATGAAAGGTATCCCTAAAACATTATGCAGATTATACATATGCAGAGAAATCACTTTGCTTCCACCTAAATGGCTGCACTGCAGTGTAACGCAGCAGTACAGGAATAAGGGTGGCAATGTGAAAAGTGGTATTTGTCAATATCACTTTTCACAGAAGACTTCGTGCCCCATTGCCACCCTTACTTCTGTGCTGCTGCTGCCACCCGGGGCTGACAGCCAGAGCCCTGCTGCCTCCAGGTGATGGACTGGGGGAAGAGTGGGGAGCCTGGGTGGCGGGGCTCCAGCTGTCAGCCCCAGGGAAGTGGGGCTCTGGCTGTCGCCTTTATGCTCACCTCCTGGGTGTGCACAGCCACTCTGCGTGAGTCCCAGTGATCCAGGGCTGACAACCAGAGCTTTTAAAAAAAAAAAAAAAAAAAAAAAAAAGCACAAAGCTCACGCCTCCCTTGACCCATTCCTGCACCTTCCTTGCATTGCCCGCCCCATAATTTGAGAACTGCTGCTCTAAATAACCCATCACCACAGCCTCTAACCTCTTGATACAGTAACTTCATAAAGCCGCAAACAGAATCATAGTGAACTCTGTTCTTTACTACTCAGAGATGTTAGGAGACGCTGCTTAAGCAAGTTTTTTTTTATTAATTATTATTTATTATTATTATGTATATGAGTTCGTTCCCCTTCATCTTTGCTTATGGCATGAAGACTATGGCCAACAAGTGGATTAAGCATTACATAAATTGTGAAATATTAATTGACAGCTCTAACAGTAATCAGTTAACTCAAGGTCCCTGTATCATGTCTCAAGTGAAACAGATAATTCATAATGTATTAAGCCATAGTCAGCATGCCCCCAACACCTTAACACATATACCAAATATTTATTCAGTGCCAGAAAAGAGATCCAGATAGAATGTCAGTGTATATTGAATAACTAACTGCTGTAAGAGCATCATTTCATATCTTAAAAGAAAAATATGCAGCAGCCGTGGCTTCTACAGTTAAGATTACAACCTACTATCTATTCTAGGAGGAATAGTTTAGGGAAAGCTCCCAAAGTAACAGGTGAAAAGTTACATATTTCTGCCCCACAACAATTTTACCTATCTTTACTGGCCTCTGTTCTTTGCCAGACCCCTGGTCTACTTCACTCTGTGGTTGTCTATGGCTGACTGTTGTAATATGCCCTGATGCTCAAAGTATGCCCAAAGCTTTATTCAGTGCTCCATACTCACCGATTTCAAAACGCTCTACCTTAAAAAAAAAAGTTGACTGAATAAGGAGTTCTGAATAAATGAACCATAGGTGTTTAGCACTGAGCTCTCAGTCTAGAGAATGGATTGCTGCTGTACTAATCCAAGCCCAAGCATTCTGATCTCCACTTTTAGAAGATCTACTACAGTTTTCTAGAAACCCTACTGCTCATCACTGGCATAACTGCCACAATCCTATAGTATAATAGTGGGTAACCAGAACCAACCGTTTACCTATTTTTATCTCTGCTTGTTCCAGATACAAGCAAACTTAACAAAAGAAACTGCCTAGGACTTTAAAACTACCTGTTTCAGACAGGCAGATATAGCCGGTTATTTTTACTCCCATTCAGAGAGCCTCTAATTGCTTGTCTTTCAGATCACAACTCCAACAACAACAAACTCCAACAACAAATACCAACATGTTTGGACTTCATTGTCCTTTTTACATAATGAAACAAGCCTATAACTTCTTTAGTTTATTTATATCACTCACACTTAAACTAAAAAATAATACTTGTCATCCTACCCTAGTTGCCCTCTTCCTTTGGGCAAATGCTCATTCCTCTCTCCCCCAGATCCAAAGTTTACACTGGGATTAAAATTAAAGGAACATTGGTCAGATACCTTAGGACCCAAATATAGGTTTTGTTTTTAAAAAGTTACAAAACCAAACACTAAGAGAAAATGTTTTCTTCAGGATTTAAACATCACCCTGCAGAATCTGCAGCCCAAACACTGAGGGTTCTTGAGCCTGCAAAAGCATGCAACTACTCAGGTGCATAAATGTTTGAAGTCTTTGCAGAACAGGGTCCTATGTGATCCTCTTATGTGCATGAGAGACAGAAATTGAAATTCACATATCTATTTGCACTGGCCAAGCTGAAAGGAACATCAAAAGTAAAACACCATGACAGTGAAAAGTAAATTAGATTTTTAAAAGTTCCTTGGATTGTAGCAACCTAAGGTGTCATTTAAATCTCTTCTTTGCAGGCTAAGTTTCTGTGCAATAACAATCCCATACAGTAATAAATGTGGATATTCCCATCCACAACACAGATGCTGAAGTTTCCAACAGCACCTATGGATTATGGGTGCCCAATCTGAGACACCCTGGGCCCGATTTGCTGTGGTTCTGAACCCCACTGGCTTCAGCTTGAGTCGTGGGTGCTCTGCACCTCTGGGAACCAGGCCTCAGATGTCGCAAGTTGGGCGCCCAAAGACGGAGGCGCCCCAAACCAGCAGCCGCATTTTGGCCACGCTGCAGCCGCTGGTTATAATGCTGTTGCAAGGACGGCCTCCCAGATCCACCCGCCCGGAGGCTGCAGGTGCCGCACTTCCCACAGGCCCATCCTCACGGCGTCTGGGCACCACCCGGGAGCCCGCCACCTCGTGCTGGGCCAGGAGGCTCCACACCACCACAGCGGCCCAGCTCCCGGCAGCCTCGCTGAGCAGGGGGGCACCTCGCAGGGGCAGCATGAGGCCAGTGCTCAGGCCATGGGTCAGCGCTATAGGCTGCCCTGTTACACAGGAACCCCAAGCGTTTGCAGGGGACGGTTGGCAGCGACGCTGGTTGTTGTGTTGTGTTGTGTTGTGTTGTGTGCAACCCCTCCCCCCAAGCCATGGCCCCCAGCCCAGAGACCACTGCCCTGCCCCCAAGCCAACAGGGCCAAGCCTGGCTCGCCGTGTACTCACAGGAGCCTGGCCCGGCCGTTCCGTCCCCTCCTCCTCGCCCGGCTCCATGCTGCTCCGTGCTCCCTCACGCAGCGGCCCGCTACTCGGGCCACACACAGGCAAGCAGGCGGCAACCAGCTGCGCATGCGCGGCCACCTCCCCAGCCCGTTGTTAGGGACTCGCTCAGAGCAAAAGGGGAGAGCGGGGACGAGCGGCGCGAGCGCCGGCGTCAGCGCAGGAGCCGTTGACGGGAGAGAGAGGGAGAGAGAGAGAAACGAGCGCGCGATTCTGTCAACAGCGCGAGGAAGAGCCGTTGGGCGCGCGCGCGAGGGTTCCGTCCCTGCCGTGGACTGAGCGTGCGCGCGCCGCCGAGAGGGTCGAGGGGCGGAGGCGGCGGTGGCTGGCGCTGCTGTTGAAATGCCCGGATGTCAGTGACGGCCGCGCGCACTGGCAGTGCCCATGGCCCTGCTGGCACAAGGGCGCTCGCCCCGTCGGCCTTGCCAATGAGCATCTGTCCCCTTCGCAAAGCCCTGGGGCACCCAGCCTGGGGACTGCGCGTCGTGCCCAGTGCCGCCCTGGCAGCGACACGGCCTGCCCTCGCCCTGGGTTATGAGGGTGCCACATGGTGGCGCTTCTTAACCTGGCGCCACGGGACGACTCCAAGGAGGCCAACAAAATTTGAAATGTCAACTATTGTTTTCTCCACAGAAATTAAAAAGAAAAAAAAATCACAAAGGAACGTCACCGTTTTCCACCCAAGCTCCGGCTAATTTGGGGTTGTCGACATTCTGTGCAGCCGGGCTAACCCCACACCTTCAAAAAATCATGAGAGCCAGCAGAAAAATGATAAGATTTTAATAATAAGAGTAACTGTTGGAGTCTTTGGTTTCTGAGCCATTAGGGTGCTCTCAGGTCACATGGACAGGCCTTGTTCCAGAACTGTTAGAACGAAAATATTACTCCAAAAAGCAATAGCTGAAATTCTCAGCGCTAGGTGCTTGGCCTTTAAGAAAAGCAGTAAATAGCGTGAGACTCGTGACTGACATTTTTGGGATCACCCAGACCACTAAGAGGTTCTGGCACCATCTGCCTTGTAACTTTGGATGTCCTGATGTTCACATCCCTGACACCATTAGCCAGCCTACAAGCATAAATGTCTCTCAACCCTAACTTCCAGCAGCCTAGTTGCTCCTTGCAGCGTGACCCCACAGCCCCTTTGGTCCTGAGTCCCCCCCAAAATCCATCACCCTGAGTTCTCAACTGCCAGACACAGAATTTTTCTTTCTGGATCCTCACCCCCGAAGGAGTAAAACCTGGCACCAATTATCAGTTCACTTTGCGGGACACACTCCCACAGTTTGCACACCAGCGGCCTGCTTAGGGAAAAAATAAAAAATTTATTTAATGAAAAAATCACAGATTCAAAGATGAAATAGTAAGGAAGAGCGAATATACAAGATACACAGAAAATAAACAAAGATGCAATCTCAGCTTCACATTTCTATAGTAGCTAAATTCCGTTTTCTAATACAAGTTGCCTGTTGCCTCTGAACAGTTTCCCTGTGTGCCCTCTGTCCTAAAGGGGATCCAGTGTTTCACAAACAGCAGCCTGCGTAGGTGCTGGCCCTCAGTTTCTAGACAGCCATCACTCCAAACCTGTTAACCTGAAACTCAGAGTAAATAGGCCAGCTACAATTCTGGTTTCAGCAGCAGGATCTTTTCATCCCTCAGGATCTATCATCTGGGGTTAGATAGAAGTTGGTGTGCCTCCCACCTCCCTTGTGTGTGTAGTGGACAAAAGAGATAGAGGATTTTTCCAAAACAAAAACAGAAGATTTATTTAAGAGAAGTAACAACAGGAACAGGGAAGAATCATGAACTATAACCAGATAACAAGTGAGTTGTGGTTTAACGGAGGTGAGTATAAAACTCAGGCCCCAACTAACCCAAACTGTGGCAACAACTAAACAAAAGAGAACAAAAGAATACCCCAAGATACTTTCCTGTCTCTAGGTTTTCTTAACCAGCAGGAATGAGGTTAAGATGCATTTGTCTTCACAGGTGATCCACGGGCTTACAGGATCTAGAAGCTGAAGTAGTGGGGCCCAAAGGTGAGAGCCCTCAGGATCCTGGTGACTGGTCCCAAAGGGAAGATGTTGGAACTCAGGAACACCACGATGTTTGAGGTAAGTGACTAGTTGTTAACAGTCTTTAATGTCTTTACAGCTGCTGGTGATCTTGATCCGATTGCCTCATCCAGTGGTCTTGATCCGGAGATCCGACGCCGCACAAAAAGACTGCACCTTGACTGTCTCTATAACAGAGAGCTCCCTAGCAACGGGTACTCAGACTAATTTAATTTTTTTAAAGACGCACACGCCTAGGTTCGGAGGTAAGTAGCTCTACAGGAGCCAGTTGGAACTAATTCCAAATGTCCATTGGCTTCTTTCATGCCAAAGTTCCGTAAAGAAGCTTCCCCAGTGTGGCATCTGAGTTATCCTTTGCCTCGGATGCCATGATGGACACCTGAACTCCGTTTTGGAAAATACTGTAATCTGTCTAAAATGTACTAATAACAGTAAATGTAATAACAAACAGCTAAAAGTGCATAGAACATTGTGATAAACATCATAAGGACTATATTGAGCATGAAATGAACAAAAAAACATGCAACAAACCCTCTTCCTTTTAACAGGGTTTCCAGTTTGTTTTCCCCTCCCCTTTTTCTCACACTGGTAATTCATGGTTACACAGTCTTAATTCTCCAAGACTGGGGTTTTCTTTTCTGTTTTAACGTCTTTTCATTACCTTTAATGGTCCACCATTGTCTTTCCTTAGATTACAATGCTAGTTGCTTGCAGTTAGTTTCCTGCAAACAGCTAGCCTGAGCGGTGCCCCCCTGCCTGATTACTTCACTCCCTCCTCCTCCCAGTTGAGAGGTGATGCTGTAGTTGCACCACAGTTACAATTACAATTTTCTACACATACATTCATAAACATAACCTATCAGAACTTTACAAGCTTTCATAAAAGACCTTACCTGACATAATTATACATGATAACATTGTATAAAACCAGTTGAGAGTCAATTGCTTATTCTTTAGGATTCAGATCTCCTGTTCTCCCCTTGGGGTGTCTCGATCCTGATTGTCACAATGATAAAATCACAATTTTTGGCAACACTGTTGCATATTGGCATTGCAAACATGGTCTTCTCATACTGCTATTATTGCTTTGTGGTGATGTTTCAGAATCAGAAACATGAATTGGTGCCCTGGTGTGCTAGACACTGTACAAAGATACAGTAAATAACAGTTCATTGCCCCCAGAGACACTACCTCATGCTATCTGATGGTGTTTTGATATAACTCATTCATGTTGTACTACTATCATGTAACAAGATAATGCCAGGATGCAAATGTGGCAAAATTCTGCCAGGAAGCCCACATGTTACATCTCTGTGGGGTGTTCTGACATTACATGACAATGTTGCACTAAAAAGTCGCACTTCGTTGTGATATACCAATATTGGGTGAAAAACATGGGAATGCCCCTCTAAGAAAACTCAAACCTTAGTGGAGTCCCTGTTTTTCCTTCCAAATATCCCTATTAATAACCTTTTTAAAAAAAAGTAGAGGTGAACTTAGTGAACAGTGACATGTGAGTGAGTTTGTCTGGCTGTTTGTGTTTTTCCTTCTCTTTCAGGTTATTTTAGTTATTTTCAGTTATTTCAGTTACTGGTCAGTTGGGAATGTGTGCCTGGGGACTGTTTGAGCCTTTGTTCCCTGGATAATCCTCCATCATCTTTGATCAGCCTCAATCAGCCTTGTGATCACTCTACCCCTGTGTGATTAATGAGGGGGTAGGGCTGACCTAAGAGAGAAGGCCTTAAAAGCCAGAGGCTAAGTGACCAAGGGGAGCTAGCGAATAGGGGACCAGAAACAGGGGAGTTTGTGGGAGGGAGACATAATATAATCGCTATGGTTAGGAAGGGCAGCATTGCCAGTGCCAACACTGCTCCTGTCTCCTCCACCTGCACCTGTATCCAGACAGACAACATAACCATGGATGCCTCTACCCCGGTATGTATTTGCAGAGGCTGTGGCCTATAATTCCCACTCACAGAAAGCCAGGCTGGGGGGACCATCCAGTGTGAAAGGTGCCTGCTGGTGGAATCTCTCAGGAAGCAGGTGGGAGAGCTACAGGAGGAGATGGCTCGGCTGAGGAGCATCCGTGCCCATGAGGAATTCCTCAAGAATATTCATATGGAGACATCCAAGGCTGAGGAATCTATCCAGCTGCGGAGGATTGCAGTCACAGCACCAAGGAGGAGGATATGACTCTGTCACACGGAGGACACTGGCAGCTGGTTACTTCTGGCAGCAGACAGTGCTCCACCCCTACTCCCAACCCACCCACCATGATGATGGAAAACTGATATACTGCCCTGGCGACAAGCAATATGGAATCACCCCCAAAGGTGGAGAAGGAGAAGCCATGCACCCCCAAGGCTGGGAGGATCACAGCCACCACTCCCAGGAGGAAACGTAAGGTAGTGGTGGTTGGTGACTGTCTCCTGAGGGGGACGGAGGCATCAATCTGTCACCCTGACATGGCATCCCAGGAGGTATGCTGCCTGCCAGGGGCCCGTATCCAAGACATTACGGAGGGATTGTCGAGGATCATCTGGCCCTCTGACTACTACCCCATGCTACTCATCCACATGGGCACTAATGATCATGTGAGGTATGACCCCCAGCAGATCAGAAGTGACTACAAAGCTCTGGGACTAAGGGTGAAGGAGTTGGAAGCACAGGTGGTGTTCTCTTCAATCCTTCCAGTCAAGGGTAGGGGCCCAGGCAGAGACAGATTCATCCTGAAGGTGAATGCCTGGCTGTGAAGATGGTGTCACCAGGAGGGCTTCGGCTTCCTGGACCATGGGATGCTGTTCCAGGAAGAAGGATTGCTAAATAGAGATGGGGTCCACCTATTGAGGAAGAGGAAGAGCATATTTGGATACAGACTGGCTAATGTAGTGAGGAGGGCTTTAAACTAGGTTAGAAGGGGGCAGGTGACCAAAGCCCACAGGTAAGTTAAGAACATGGAAACCTGGGAGAAATTTCAGAATTTGAGGGGAGCATGGGCTGTTATAGCAGGTAAAAAGGAGAGACAAGACAGAACTTGGGGGGCGGGGGAATCAAATCAGTATCTTAGATGTCTGTATACTAATGTGAGAAGTATGGGGAATAAGCAGGAAGAACTCAAAATGCTAGTAAATAAAAATAAC